GAACAAGCTTGAACATGATCTACGCAAGTTGGGAACGTGTGACATTTACTCCCAACTTGAGGGGGAGTGTTGAAGATTAATCAGTTTTATGATGTTTTTTATGAGTAGATGTTTTATGTTAGTTGTTAGATAGGAGGTGGGGACCACGGTAGTTATGTGAATCCAAATTTTATTTTGTTTTTGTGTCTTATATATGCTGTTTTATGTCTTGCCGCCCTATAAGGGCATAGTTGTCTTTGTACTGCTCTATTATTTTTAGTATAAATAATAAGTGAAGGGRGCGGCCAGATTATTGCTCTCCTTTCTTTTCAACTTCTCTTCTTCTCTTCTTCTCCTTCGCTCTTCCTTCTTTCTTCAAGAAACTCCTTTTATTTTATATTTTTTAATTCAGCAAGCTTTCTACTTAGTGGTTTCTCTAGTTCTTAATACTAAATTAAGGTTTTTAATATTTCCTTTAACTAGTTAACATCTATAAGTGAATTGAAGAAGAAAAATCTATACCTGTTTCAGGATATCTCTATGTTGTTCATATACAGTATCTATCTTCTCTTTTCAGTTGACTTGTAGGTTAAACAACTAGAAATCAAGGTCTGAGTGCTTTGAAAACTCGGCAACAATGGAGAATTGTAAGGATATTAGCAGATTCAATGAGAAAATTCCAATGTACATGGATCAGAATGAACGTCACATAAAAAGAGAGAGAAAAAAGAGAAATGAAATGGAGAAAATTCTCAAACAATGTGGACTTAAACTTCTTTGCTTACTTCAAAGATTAAGCTGTGATAATCCTTGATACATGTGAACTTAGGGATATAAGGATAGTCAAAAACATCATTATCTGGATGAGGAATGGGATGTTGGTCCTTAGAAGCTTCATCATTATCCTCAGGAATCTTGATCTTTGGTGGGTAACTTGAGCGATTGAACCCTTCATTCAGTTGAGTCCAAAGATCAAGAAATGGCCTTATTGATAATCTATATTGGGTGGTCTGTGCCCATAGGTAACTTGAACCCTTCGTTCAGTTGAGTCCAAAGATCAAGAAAGGCCCTCACTGATTCACTTGCCAGAGAAGGTCCTCAGGCAGAATATATATTGGGTGATCTGTGCCCCTAGGTTAATGGTTGTTTAATGTTTCCCTTTAGAGTTAGATACAGGAGAGAGTAGTAGTGGAGCTACTTACCTTGCTATATTCCTATCTTGATTCTTTTCTACTAGAACCTCTGATTAGTTACCAATCACAAGAGGATAAAAAAAAATCCCAGAAGCATGTATCACATTTCAACGTCTCCCAGCACTTTCTAAATATTACAAATAGTTCATGCCTTTCTTTGAGATATTTCTTTGTTTCTACATGTAGAGTTGTTTCCATGAAAACCTACTTGTGGAGATTAGCAGTTGATTTTTGTATGTGTGTGTGTGTGTGTGTGCGTGCTGTTTTCCAAATCATTTAGGACAATAAAGTTAGTGGATGAAAGTTGCTAGCCAAGAGTGCTCTATGATGAGGTTTCTGGATATGAAGTGTATTTTTTATAGTAATTCATTGAGAACGGGCCAGGAAATGGCCGAGCCAAGGTCATATATGTATTGAAGGGTTTTAAGTTTTCAAAGATCATTTTCCTAGATCCACTTTTAGCTAAGGATGCTTTAGGCATTATTTGCTATGATATCTGGATACTTGCACATGGCTAGCATAATGGTGTTGGAGACAATACATGCCCAATATGACACCAGATAATGCACAGATACTTCTAGGTATACTCTATAGCATTGACACTTCTGAAATACGTAAAATGGTATATTTTAACAAATCCTACTATAAAAAAAAATTTATGTTAAAATTTAATTAAATTTATTAAGACATAAGCCTTGAGAATTGGCACTTAGTTTCAAAATCCAAATATAGAAGCATGATATAATTATGTTATACGGGATACTCATACCCTAATCCATATCCAGTTTTAGGATAGAAAATTCCAGTGAAGTTTGAATCCTACTTGATGTAGTCCTGTTGTGAGTTGAAGTTTGAGCTTATAATACTACTTTATTCTCTATACTTCTGTTTAAAGAAAGCACTAAATTATCTGATGTAGCCGGATTGAATACTACACTGTAGTATTTTGACATTCTTTAATCTACCAACTCCCATTTTGATTTGACTTTGGTTGCTGCACGAAGATTTTTCTCTTGGTTGATAATTTGGAAATGTCATTCTAGTGCCTAATGATACTTTACCAATTTCTTTTATTTGGAATTCTAACAGGTGATATCTACATGGGGTTCTCGTAACAATGTTGATTTCATTTCCCTTTCATATACCCGCCATGTAGAAGATGTGCGAGAGGTAGGTATTTTTGGGCATCTAAATCACATTGTAATTACCATATAGAGTATATACGTAGTTATGTACTTTATTATATAACTTTATTGTTTTGATTGATATCATTGAACTATGTCCTTTAACAGAAGAATTTGCAAACTGAAATCCTCCTGTCAATACTAAAAAGGAGAATATGTAAGCTGTTGCTTCATTAGAGAAGTGGCATCTTTAGTCACACTTTTACCATGTCTTGGTTATTATACTACGGTATCTGATACATGTCTATCTGTTTTGCATTGACATAATCCTTTTTTTCAGTAATGTATCATATTTGAACTATATATAAAGAAGAAAAGGAACATTTGTACAGGATGTATACAAGAACAAAAGAAGCAACTTTTCTTTTTCTTGCAAGAGGGAATGGAGCTGCATAGCTCAAAAAACACATGGACCTCTCCATCCTACAACTGCACAAAGAAGCCCCTACCTGTATAGGTTAACAAAATGAACTGAACAATACATGAAGCCATAATTCTTACCCCCTCATTACCAACAAAAGTAACAACAGGACCATGATCCAGGTATTGCTTTATTAACACCATATAAAACTAAAAGCAAAAGAACCAGTCTACAAAAAACCAAAAATCGAATCTCAGTGTCATACAAACTTCCCTAGATGGAAAGGAACAAAATAATAGATACTACTTTCTATCTGTTGCAAGAATTCCATTAAATATTAACATGTAGTATGCAAAAAGTGAAGGAAAACTCACAATTTCCTCCATTTTTTTTAAATGAGTTCTGTCCATATCTCATCTCTTTCTGCCCTTGTTCCCGATCCATAATGGATGAACTTATTCCTTGAAAATTGTGTGAAGCAGCATTAAGAGTCCTTGGAAGGTTATTCAACCCAACTCCTTCCAAATACCCGTAGTAAACAGGGTTATTTTCCATAAATTTCTACCTTTCATCTTAAGGAGAATAGATGAACATACTGCATTAACTCATTAATTTGAAGTAGAATCCTACAACTAACTTCATAAAAGAAAAGGAAAATAAATGATTCGCATCATCCTCTGTTTCTTCACATTTCTTGCCAATTTGATATTTCTCTCCTTGTGATGTCTTGTATTAAGGTCTGGCCAATGGTCACTATTTAAGTGAATGCTTCCACTCACGGAGGAACTGAATTACCTAAAATCTTTATCAAGCCCACCATAGGCTTAGTCAACCCTCTTTTTTTATTATGTAAAAATGAGATAGTAGGCCTCTTGCCTCAATCCCCTAGAGCATGGAAAGAATTCCTCTGAGACATGTTGATCAAAATGGAGAATGAAGTTTCAGATATATAGGTTCTACTTCTACCAATCCATTCCATGTTCTCATGAAACACATTTCCTCCATCACCTATAATGAGAATATCTGTTATACATGATCATACACATTTTCAAAGTCATTTTTTTTTATCATCCCTACCTCTTTCTTCCTTAGCTTGTTCTTGATAAATTCAATTACAATTAAGAACCCATCAAGTATTTGCATTGTTTCTGTAAATCTGCCAATATTCTAAGTATGAGGTCTTACTGGATATCAAAGTATGTGAAATTCATGGTCAGTTACAGTTGGGCAGCTCCTGAACATGTCTTGGATTTCCTTAGGCAATGGCATGGTAGGGATTTGGTCCAGAGAGGAAAAGCCTACTGGTGCACACTGGCCCACGTGGTGCTATGCGGAATGTCGAAAGAAACAACCAAGAGAATTTTCGAAAAACAAGAAAAGAACCAACCATTGAAGATCTCATATCCTACATAACCTTTTTTATGTAACCTTTGGATGACAGGCTCTGAGATCTTTAAAGGGGTTACCCTTTCAGACTTACAGATGAATTTGGTGGACCTTTCCCTGGAATCCAGCTGTTGTTCAGGCTCCCCCAGGGAGGGAGGAGGTGGATATAAGATTATGCAAGTGCAGTAGGTAATCCAGGGGAAGCTGGGACTGGAGGTGTGGTCAGAGAGGAAGATGGAAATATTCAGTGGCCCGTTAGGGGTTGTGGACTCTACAAAAGCAGAGATTGTGGCTGCCTTAACAGATCTTAGTATTGCTAAGAATTTTGGACTTTCCCTCTTAACCATGGAAGGAGATTCTGCAAACACCATAAAATGGCTATGGGAGGACAGTGGCCCTTGGCGTCTAATACATTACCCGGTTGAAGCTAGAGATATTATGGCTCAGATGATTGTAAGGATTAGATGGATCCCTAGGGAACTAAACTCTGTGGCCTATGGTCTAGAAAAATCTGGGATTCATAGGGATTCCCTGTTTAGTGACTGCATGTTACCCTTGTAATTCCATTGGCGAGTCTTTGTTGCAGTTGTACATCTCTTCATGTACCCTATGCTTTGTTTTTACCTTTGTAATTCCATTGGCGAGTCTTTGTTACGTTTCTTCAAAAAAAATTGTGAAATTCACTTCCTTGAGGAGCAAGTCTACAAGCTTCATTTCTGTTCCCAAATTAATCATAACTGTTGTAAGTATAGGACAAGACCTGATCAAGTGACAACAAAGAGGAAAAGTTCTTGAGCACCACAATCAAGCAAAACACAAAAAGCTTCAGTCTTTTCTTAATAATTGGCTCAATTTAAAGTGTGATTCCATACTTATGAATCACATGGGAAACATTCCTTAATGCCCAAAATAATCAAGCTTAGAAAACAAATCACGTTGTAATTCTTAATCAACTCCTAGAAGAACTAAAATTTGACCTTTTTGACAGACTTCAGTTTTTTTCCTGAATTTATAAAAAAAGGCAATATCTAACACCAATAACTTTTAAAAGAAGTTCTAAAATAAAGTAAGTGCTAATTAAATTTTATAAAATTAAATAGTTTCATCAGACACTTGTCAACTGTGAATAAACCCTAGTTGTTTCTAGGTCAAAGTAGAGAAGAATAAAGAAGAAAGAAAAGAGAAAGAAGAAGGAGAGGAGAAGAGTATTCGGCCAGACTAGAAGAGAGGATGTTCAAAAKTCACTCTCCTAGCCGACCCACTTGACTTTTATTCATGAAAAACTTGAGTTACAAGAAAGACAATTTTGTCCCTCATAGAAGATGGGACACATAACTTAATCTCAAATACAATAGACATTTCACTTTCAATAAGATACACCAGAATGACCAAAATACCCCTGACTCGAGCATTCTAACATCAACTATCCATACTTGACTTTTCAAGGATTGGGAAGTGATAATTGTGAAAAACACATTGAGACATTGAAAAAGACAGGAAGTAATCTTACTAGATGGGATAGATTCAATCCAATTCTTTTCTGACTTTGTCATGCCAAAATTTGTATGTATCTGCATCATATGGAACATTCTTGAATGTGTCTCATAATGTCTTTAGGTTTCTCATTCTGTTCATTAAAACCGAGATTCTGTTCTAGAATTTCTTCTGCAGAATCCTAAACTTGTTCTAGCGAGTCTTCAATTTATTCATCCATTGACATTTCATGTCTCAATCACCAGCTTGTAAAGAATCATAGGATGTTATTAAACAACGTCTCAGTCTTTCCTTGCTTCCTAATAATTGACATGCCTATTAAAATGAAAACTCCAAACCACCTTAGTAGCAATAAATTCGTAGCGGTGTTGCACTGGTGCGCCCTGTTAACCTTCAAATGCCAATGGAAATGAAGCCTCCAAATTACCTTTTTAGCAATAAATTCAAAATAATTTTGCGGTGGTGCACCCTTGTCAACCTTTAAATTGTAAATTGAAGGAAAGATGTTGTTGCAAAGGTCTTTTGCAACTGGTCATTTCTACTGGAGTAACAAATATTATTCCCAATTTTTCTTATCATTGCAAGGAGTTTATTGTACTACATGATATATTGCATAGTCCAGGATAGCAATAAACAGAGAAAAAAATAAGACTTGAATTAATCTTACATTTAATTGGTTTTCTTCAGCTCAAAGCTTTTCTTCAAGCACAGAATCTTAATGAGACTCTAATCTTTGCCAAAATTGAAAATGTGGAGGTGAGAACTTTTATTTGAAATGGAAATTTTGTTAATTGAATATCTGCCAATTTACAATTATATTGCTTATTTGTTTAATTTGATTCATTGAAAGTTTCAAGGTTATGATATTTGTCAATATAAGATGAGTCAGGTATCTACTTTAATTGATCTATCATTTTACCAGGGTCTGAAGCATTTTGATGACATCCTCCAAGAAGCAGATGGTATCATACTTTCTCGTGGGAATTTAGGAATAGACCTACCACCAGAAAAGGTTAGATGGTTCAGTTGTCCTTTAATCATTAATCCATCAGGTTGGCTTATATTCTTAGAGACTTATTACACGTAACTGTTGGTAAGCTATAGTTTAGAAATCTATCATTATTATTATTTCTATTATCATCATTGTCATTGTGCGTTCAACTTGTAATGGAGATAATTGTATGAGAAAAGGTATGAAAAATAAGAAAATGAAATGAAGATACCAAGCAAAAAACAAATACGAAGGGGGTGTTAGATCAGGGTTGTTCTACATTAAACAACAAAGCCATAAAAAGGTTGGTGAAACTGAGTAAGCAAATATAACTTTTTTATGGGTGGGGACAATGAAGCTCAAGAGTTGCAGAGATGAATGGAAGTTAATTTCCACCAATATAGGGGGGGATGGAGGGATTTTGTTCATCACCACTCATATGGACGTGAAAGGCACGTGTGGTACAGGTTCATCATGACAAACATCTTTCATTCTCAACACATGGCTACCATGCATAGATTGTATAATTCCAAAATAGAACCATATAATATCAAACAAATAAGGTTAAAAGATATAAAATAGCACTGTAAAAGACAACTTTTCGATTCAAAGAACCATAACCTATTCACTATGATAAGGCTTCAAAGAGTAGTCTCCATCCATCATGGTATAATTTGCAGGAGATTCTTCTTATTCCTTCTCTCTCAATCTCTGTGAGTAACACAATAGCATCATTCTCTCTATGGGAAAACAGGGGCTGTGCCTTTATTTTATTTTTATTATTTTTTCTCTACAATCACTCTTCCATATATTTCTAATATAACAAAAACAAGGACTCCAGCCTTCTATGTTTTTTTTCCATTTTTCTTTGAAATTAACATAGCATACTCACATGCATAAATATACTTGCAGTCATTCATAGTCACATGCATGGACTCCTTGATACCTCTGTCTCACTCAACACAACAAGGGTTCCATACCTTTTCTTTATTTTCACTCTCCAATTTGTACATATTAGGAACAAAATCTTGGGCTGGCAAGCATGAGAATACAGGATTGAATCTGAGAGCAGCCACTCCATGCAAAAAATAAAATGCTAAGTATAGGTATTATTTAAATCCATTTTTCCATATTGACCCCACACTCTCCAATGAAATTGAATGAAAATTTAAAGAGGTAGGGTTAATTTAGTAACTTAAATATTAAAGAGTAGGTTAGCCTATCAAGAGACAAGAAACATGGGAATTAATTGTTGGATAAAATACACAAAAGCAAAAATCCGTTGGGTTTTAACCTTAGATAAAAAAAAAAATCAAAAGACAAAGATTCAAAAGAAAGCTACCATTCCAATTGAATAGCCCTCTCATATATCTTATGCATATGGATTTTTTATGTAGTTTCTTATTTTTTTTGATGCAAGACTTGTTATGAAGTTAAAATCAAGAATTCATATACCATCTTAATTTAATTACAAGAATCACAAGTATAAAATTGAGAAAGATAAAGTATGAGCTCTCTAATTTTCTTATTTATAATTGTCTAGTTTACTTAATAATTTTATATGCTTTCAATTTTTCCTTCTGAAATTATATTTTTATATGTTTCTTTTGTACTTGCATCTAGATTTTTTGTTTTAAGATATATAATCATTGAGGACAATTGAAAATCTCAAAGAACCATTCAACCTAAAAGCTTAAGCTGTTAGGTGAGGTCCTTGAATAGGTTGATATTCTCTAACACGCCCCCTCACACGAAAGTTCATTGGGCTTGAAGTGTGAACAAGCACAGGCCCACCCATACCTTGTGCTGAAACTTAATTAATTACAATGGGGGTAAAGAAGATCGAACACTAAGACCACTTGGTCAAAGTGGCTCTGATACCATCTCAAAGAACCATTCAACCTAAAAGCTTAAGCTGTTATGTGAGGTCCTTGAATAGGTTGATATTCTCTAACAGAAAAAAGACATTTATTAATTTTTGCTGAAGTAGTGTGATTAATGTATTAAGCTTTTCCCTTATATTTGTATTTTGAAGATTTAAAAATTTTTTTGTTACTTTTAGTCAAATCATTTAATGTATGAAAACATTTTTGATACAAGTTATTGAATGACCCCACTGGAAAAAATTCCTGGCTATGTCATTGATTAAATTATGTAGTTAAAAATATTTTATAAAGGAAAATAAGAAAGGAGTTATCTATAATGATAAACTTAAAAAAACAATGGGTTTAAAGAGAAAACATTTATATTAAAACAAATTATTTTGATGATATTTTTTAAAACAAATTTTAACAAAACAAAATTTGTTGAAAACAATATAAAAATAGGGTAAATTACAGATTACCACCTTGTACTTTGGGGGTAGTGACACTTAGCTCCCTGAACTTTAATTTGCGACAAAGACCCCCTTGAAATTTCAAAATCCAACATTTCCCCCCTCCCTGTTAATTGGATTGACATAGAATGTTAATTTACTGAAATGCCCTTTTGAGATTCATATTGGCGAAAGGATATCATTTCAGAATAATGAAAATGGGTAAGGAAAAGCAGATGATCTCACCCTTGTCAACAATGTGTTGATGACTAAACTCATCTGTGCTTAGCTTAATTGACTGTGAGAAAGAAGAAGAAAGAAACATACATAAAGAGTATAAGTATGTAAGGGAAAGAGCAAAATGGTCCAACAAATTAAGGAAAGGGTGGTTTGGGGATTTAGAAATGTTTAACAAGCACATGACAGTCAAATGAGAATCTTTTTTCGAAGTTAATTGATGGAATGCTAATGGAAGAGGCAAAGTGTTGGAATCTGAATGTTCAGGGGGGTCTTTGTCGCAAATCAAAGTTGAGGGGGCTAAGTGTCACTAGACACTACCCCCAATGTACAAGGTGATAATCCGTCATTTACCCTAAAAATATTAATGCACTACAGAATATGCCTAGATACATACCTGTAATATTTCATGTTGATACACCCATATAACTAGAATTATTTTGTGGAAGCATTTGAAAAACATTTACTTTTAAACCATGCTTCTTAAGCCTTTTAAGAAATGTTCATTGATACATGATACTCTTATTAGTAAACTATCCATCTGGGTTGCTTTTAAACACACAATAGTTTTGACTCAACACTTTGGAGAAAGGACATGGCACTTTGGTGGACTCTTCTCTGAGTTATATGAAATATAAAATATTTGGCACCCATTCTAAGATTAGGAAAAGAATTGAACATCTGTACTATTTGATAAATTTATATAAGTTGATTATAAATACTTTTAATTGTTGTTATATTTTAACTGATTTATGATTCTAAATTTAATTTGCAACTGATAACAAGATCAAGGAAACCCAGAAAAGAAAGATGAAATAGAATTTATTAATTGAAAGCAAAGATAGCTGGATTATCTAAAAGAGAGGAAAAATATAAATGAAGAGCCAAAAATAAACCCTTAGGTTGAACCTATTAGCTCCAAATACACCCATAATGCACATTAATCAGCAGGGATAAGCGCCAGTATAACATTATTAATCCTACCTCACTTCTAGACGATTTATTGGTTATTCCATCGGCTGTTCTCCTAATCAAGAAAAGATGTTTCCTCTAGTCCAATGATCTGGCCTCTCTAGTATAATGCTTATAACTATAGAGTAACCTAGCATATATCAAGCACAACGCCCTTAACAGAGATAAATAATCAGCATATACAGTCACCAAGACCAATCAAGTTGGAAAACACCTAGATGATCTCACTCCAATGGCTCTTGATTTGTCCTCTTATTCATCAATTTGAGTGTTGTTTATAAGTATCTATTCTACAAAATAAAATGAAACTATATTTGTTGAGTTTTGTAATCTTAAACTTTTGCAGACCAACACTTGTACTTGTGTCAGATTCCACAACTAACTCCCACTTCCATGCAACATAGCTACAAAAAAACCTTTGTAATATAAAAAATTGTTAAGGAGTTTCTTTGTATTTAGAAGTATTCATGATTGAATAATTTGAGTGAAATGATTTCCAATAATATATTAATAACTATGCTGACTATAATTGATCATGAATATTTGCTTAGAATGCTTTTTCTCAACATTCTAAACTTTAGCCATTTCTTTGAAACATTGCACCATTCTTATGCTTGTGCAAACGTATGTTCTACTTTTGTAGGTCTTCTTATTTCAGAAGTCCGCTGTTTACAGGTGCAACATGGCTGGAAAGCCTGCCATAATTACTAGAGTGGTGGACAGTATGGTTGACAATCTACGGCCAACTCGTGCAGAAGCAACTGATGTTGCAAATGCTGTCCTCGATGGTTCATAACTAATTACATTTGAATGTTATAAAGTTTATGTTAGTTCATTCAGATTTTCTCTCTAATTTTAGCTATCTACTTCAGGAACGGATGGTATTTTATTAGGTGCAGAGACACTTCGAGGCCTTTATCCTGTTGACTCAATAAGAACTGTTGGGAGAATTTGTGCCGAAGTAAGTAAATGCACCTAATAGTGTGGGAGTTAATTCTACATGATGCATTGGTAACTGGTAAGGATAACCTCCCTTTTTGGAGATTCCCATGGAAAATGTAATAACAACAACAGCACCAGAAGCAACAACAATGAAAAGACAATACCAATAATGATAAAAATAGTCTTGGGGTCCAAGTAAGGTGAGAGGAAAAAGGACTCCCAGCAGATAAGTAAGGTGAGAGATTCAAGTGCTCTTCTTATCTTCCCCTTATGAAGGATAAAAGGAAGACCAAAATCATCATAATAAATAAATAAATAAGTAATGGAATAATAATGAGATTAGGAATAATCAAATAGGTCTTGGGTTTCACTACCTAAGTTTTGGAGAAACCCCTATTAGTGACATGCTATCAGTAATCTGCTCCGTCGTCCTCTGCCTAGGGTTGAAATGTATAACTAGTAGGGAAAAAGGCACAAGGAGATTAGTATGTTAATAATGCACTGGAAGAGAATTGAAATCATAAAGTCCTTTTATCAAACATATCTAATGTTACACATTATGCCCTTTAAAGAATTGAATTGCCCTAGAAAAACATCTACAGTTTCTATAAGTGACTTGGTTGAGATTGTCAAGTAGTGGGCCATAGTAATGAACTCACTCAGATCAATGGACAAATCAAGACTACAAAAAATTCTATTGATGACTGAAGAAAAGGATGGCCTAATTACTTGACTTATGAATGGTAAGTATTCAGAACCACCTGAAAAATGTTTTTACAAATAAAGTTAGGAAAATCAGAGTCATGGTAAGAGGTACTTGGAGTGAAAACTTCAAATTCCCTTAGAGGCATTCTCATTAATAGTCTTTTTTCTTCAATCAACAAAAAGAAATTATATGTACTAATGTAACAGAAAGAGAAAATAAGGCTGTGTTTGGTTGCTTCATTTGTACTGGTGTAAATTCATGGGGGTGCAAATAGGCTAAGTGTAAAATCTGGTTTACTTTTGCTTCAGATTTGACCTTGTTTTGTTTGTTTGTCAAAAGTAAAATAGGATGTAAAATGGTTTGGTCCCACCTTATATACAAGAAAACAGAGGTAGGAAGAGGATTCTTTGTTTGGCAGTGAGGTAGGAAGCAAGAAGCTAGTGCCCACTTTCTATAAGAGATAATTGATGAAGGTGGTGAAAACTTTGCATCTGTTTTTGAGATGCAAAATTTACACTGCTAGTGACTGCAAATTAGACAAAAAAAGTACAAATTTTGTATCAGGTAGGAGTGCAAACCATAGTTACAAACAAGCGCGGCCTAAATTACAAGCCTCTGTGAACAACTAAAGATAAACCCAATACTAATGAAGTGATATTATATTCAATACCTCCCAGTAATCTGGTTCTTACAACATTTGCCATGTGAAGCCTGTGGAGAATGCTTACCAGGTTTACGTCATATGATATGATTATTGAAGTACAAGACAGCATACAAGTATGCAACTAACTCCAACAGAGACCATTTTGTAGGCTGAAAGCGTCTACAACCAGGATCTTCAGTACAGGAGAATAATCAAACATGTTGGCGAGCCAATGTCACATGCAGAATCTGTTGCTTCATCTGCGGTATCTAAAGTTATATATTATTTTTATTATTTCAGTTTTCAAGTTGCCCTGTACTGCATAAATGATGGCTCTCACTGTACTTCAAAGGTGCGTGCTGCAAGTAAAGTAAAGGCAGCAGTAATTGTTGTGTTTACATCATCTGGGAGAGCAGCAAGGTGCTTTTTCCGCATGCCTACAGTCCACAAAGTAATTTTTACTTGGCAAGTAAAAATCTTGAGGTCCTTAACTTCGTAATTTTTTATAGGTTGGTTGCCAAATATAGGCCTTCTGTGCCCGTTTTTGCTATAGTAATACCACGTCTTAAGACAAATTCATTGAAGTGGAGTTTCTCTGGAACCTTACAGGTATCAATATCTGTCTCAGTCAAGTTAGCACTGCACTAGTTATGACGGATCATTGGATTATTTAGATACCTCAATATTTGCTACCAGTGTGAAAATTCATAAACTTATTGTTGTTTCATATGGCATTATCTTGTAGTGAAATCCTCTGTTCTTGTTGTGCAGGCTAGGCAGAGCCTTGCTGTGAGAGGGGTGTATCCTATTTTGGCCAGTCCTAACATGGTAATTTATTTTCTTTTGACTGTTTGATTATTTGATTGTTAAGGGAGTAGATATTCCTTTGAAGGCATTGAAATGCCTTTTTCCCTAATTGCTATGGAATATTGAATCCCACCTTGCAATGAAGCTATTGATCTTAAGTTCCTTTCTTTAAGAATCAAAAACAAAAAAAAAGTAAATTATCAATTTTCTCCCCTACCAATTCTACTGAACCAACTTGGCATTCAAACATACAGCTGCCAAACTGGGGTTGGTCAGTGCCCAATAGAATAGCCTTTTTAAGAAAATTAATAGCTGGATTCAGCTGTAGCTGGTCCTGGTTTGGAAAACCAGAGCTTATCCCATTAATTATTACCATTAAAATTGCTATTATATTCAAGATGTATGTATACAAGTAATAGTGATAGGGTTTGTCCCTCCAGACCTGGGCATGATCCTCAGTGAGCATACATTAAACAGTGAAACCTCAGGCTCAGCCCAAAAAGCGTGCCTAAAAATGTATGCTACTATTGCGGACAAAGGGACAACCCCAAGTATGACAAAAGATGGGTTACTAGAATCAGACCCTTTGTATAATTCGTTCCACTGTACCATCCTTGAAAGGCAGCAACTTTCGTATGAACAACTGAATTTCTAAATTCCAAATAACATCAGGAACTGCTAATTGCTAATTGCAAGAAATACCTCAATTGGAGTAAAATCTGGAATATGTTGAAAGGGACAGGTCAAACTAAAATTGCCTGCCCCAATGATTTCAGGGGATGACATTAGCTGATGGTAGATACTCTAGAACCAGTGGTAGTTGATTTCAGGATTCTCTTACCCCAAGTGTCTTTGAAGATTGTTCTGAACCCAATGATCAGTGCAAGGGAGCTGATTCACTGTTTATCTTCTTATATGCCAGGTTGCTTCAGGTTTCTCCAGTGAACAGTCTGGGTTGAAACTTGCCTTCGAGCATGGTAAATCGGTGGGATTGCTGAAGCCCAATGATCGGGTTGTTGTCTTCCAGAAGATTGGGGACTCATCTGTTGTCAAGATTGTTGAGCTTCAAGATTACCTATGAAAAGGCACCTATCATTTAATTTTTCTTAATCCAACATTTCGGGTAGGACGTACCCTATTTCCAATACTAGGGATTACAACACCAACATTGCTATTACATTAATTCTGCTATAATGTTTTCTTCTTCATGTTAATTTAATTAATCCTATCCAGCTTTCCACTGAAATATCTTTAACCACCATACCTGAATAATTTATTTATTTATTTTTGTTGGCATCTATGCAATGGGGGAGGCCTATCTATTTGCACACGTGCACTCTTGAATTTCACGGCATATTTTCCACCTCAAAATGGTTTCTAGGAAAATATGATAAAGGATTATTGGTTCCAATTTGTGAGAACAATCTCATCTTTGTTGCTTCAAAGCAACCGGTCCTTGGTTTAGCTCAGAATCCTGGGATCTTGAGCCAAGCCCAAAATTTTCAACCCAATTTGATTTTGCGTTACAGAATTTTACTGGGGTGGAGTGAATATTATTCCCTTATGAAAAATCACGTAGAATAAGCATATAAGAAAAACTTCTTGTCTTCATGGTTATCCATAGTAGCCCCTTGCCATATGGTAATAGTCCAATTTTAAGGAAAAAAAAAAAAACTATTAGAGAATATTTATAGCATATCTTGTTGAGATACATGACTGGATATGAAATATGGGCCGTTTGGGATCGATGCCATTTTCTCAAAAAACACACCACATCAGAAATCCGTTTTTTTTAGAAAATGCATGCTGTTTGGTAAGATGTTTTTCCAAAAAACATTTTCTCATACCACACCTTAGAAATCGGAAAAAGTATAGTCTGAGAAAATACTATTTTTGGTGTTTTTCTGTTTTTTCTCCTGTTTTTAACAATAGTGTACTGATGTGACATTGAAAAACGATTATGTGCCAGCACAGTAATGGTACCAAATAGAAAGCCTGAGAAAAACATTTCTTAAAAAACAGCATGTTTGCAGCACCATTTTCTGAGAAAACACCTGTCAAGAACCGGCATCAATCCTAAACACCATCTAGATCTTCTGAAAGCAATCACCACTTGGATATTCTGAAAACAAGATGTGTAATAGTTGCTGGTTCATCTGGTAACAGTCCAGAGACCAACCCACCTGTTTATTTTTAATTTAGCGGACCAGTAACTGTTATACATCTTTGTTTCCAGAAAATTCTGTTCACAACAATGATAAAGATGCAGCTAATTCAGGAGATTTCTCTGCCAAATGGGCAGTTCTCTGGCAGTTCAGTTATCCAAGCAAGGATTAACGGAACGCAATGACTGTTCAGTGGGCTTAAGGCAGTGAATTAAAAGGCACGCCTAGGCACATTTTGGGATATGTGCCTTGCTCAGGTCCTAGGTGCACGCCTGGTGTGCCTAGGCGTGCACCTGATGCACCTTGTGCCTCAGCCCAGGCATGCGTCTTTTTAAAATTTTGCATTTTTTGCCCTTTTTTTAGTTTTACGGTTGGGCCGAGGGCTCCGCCCCCGGACCCCTGACCCCTGACCATGCCTCTTGAGGCAAGTTCGAGCAAATCTATGTTAGGGTTTGAAATTCTTATTTCTCACATGAAAAATAATAATTTTATAACTTTAATTGCCTTTTAAGAACATATTTTATTAGAATGAATGAATGAACAACATTAACAAATAGGGGGTTCTCGGAGCTCTGATGAACAACAACTCATAGAATCAAGAATACAATATGTTTTAGTGTTTTACATCACATTAGCTACTTGAAGCAATACAATTAAGGAAAAAAAGAGATTATGGATTTTACATGCTTGAAAATGCTTTATATGTTTACTTTTATTTTAAATTTTCATTTGAATACGCTATGTATTTTAATTTTAAATAATTGAGCGACTCATAGAATCAAGAATACAATATGTTTTAGTGTTTTACATCACATTAACTACTTGAAGCAATGCAATTAAGGAAAAAAAGAGATTGTGGGTTTTACATGCTTGAAAATGTTTTATATGCTTGTTTTTATTTTTAAATTTTCATTTGAATATGCTATATTTATGTATTTTAATTTTAGATAATTGGTTTTTTAAAACATTTATATTAAAATTTATATTTATATTTTTTATTAACATTATGTTTAATATTTTTTGAATTTTTAAAATTTTTTAATTTTTTTTGGCTTTTTTTGAATTTTCTGATTTTTTTTTTATGCATGCCTCGCCTTGCTTGCGCCTCAGGCGCAAATTGGTCCTTGCTCCTTTTCTGTGCCTTGCACTTTTAAAAATCTGGCTTAAGGTTCCACACCAGTAATAAAATACATGAGACCCACACCTTTCACAGTGGGTCCCATGAATTTATTACTGGTCTCGGATGATTCACAGCCCAACAGCCATCGCGTTCAGTTAAACCGAATTCCAGTTATCCATACAAGGTTGTACTCTTTAAAGATTGCAGACTGCAGTAACATAAAAGAAAGCACCTTAATCAGGCCTATTTGCTTTTAGAAATACATATAGAGCAAAGGAGCAATGTGAGTTATGATTTGCCCCGAATTGTCTTAGTGAATAATCTTAGGCCCGATACAAAATCTAATTCAGGCCTTTCTCCTTGCTTCTGACCTAGGTAATTAGGCCTGATTGAATTTTCTTGAAGGGAAAAACAACATTCTTTTATGTATCTACGGAATTATATACATCACGGTTTGCCTTAATGTCGCAATTCACTAACCAATGACATTCAGAATCTTCACCAATAAAACTTTGCCCTTCACGATAATTTTACCTGACCACTAATACAACATTTGTATTCCCTGAATCAAAACACACATTGTTTATTTGTTAATCAATCACTAAAAGATGATCTTAAGGTCAAGCACATGTCTCAGTAAAGCAGAATTCACAGATTTTGCAAGTCAAAGTTACGTGCATATTTTTCAGATACGGAGATACCCATGATGTTGCATTTGCAGTAATCATCAGATTGGGATCTGCAAAACAAAAAATGATAATAAATAAATAAAAATGGTTTAATTGTTTAATTTCAACTGCCCTAAATCCCCTTGCACAGGACCAGTAGTCTAGGGGGCCCCATCACTTGGGACCCACCATTGAATGAGTCCCAACTTAAACATTACCATGTCATGAAACGGCACGATCAATGGTCTCTAAACTATCTGAATCTCATCTTACACAAACACCAGCAAACATCTATTAAATAGTTCTTTTGGCTCGGTTTGGAAAGAATACAAATACAAATATGTACAGTACAAACACATACAAAATAATACAAAATACACGGTTTTTCACTCTACATATTTGTATTTGTACTCCTTCCAAGCTGAACCTTTGTTTCTAAATTTGATGTCTATCCAAGAATGGGTGTTCAATCATTTTAACTGCTACATATACCCATTTAAAAGAGTTAAAAAGTCTTCTGTTGCAAAGAGCATTAACAAGTGCTCTGAAGAAATTGGATTATGGGTGATAAAGAGATCTAATGGGAGGCAAAGATACAACATAACAATTCATGAGCAAATGGCTTTGTTTCTGCAAGGGCTCTTTGCAACATTATCTAAAAAATTGCAAACCAATGGAAGAAATGCCATGTGTTTCTTTTCTTTTCTTCTTTTTAGAAGCCTTATGGTAATTCAGAACTACATGTGGGAATGCTAACCAAAGCTATAAGAGAATACACGTGCAAGCTCTTGATGATTTCTTTATATTTCGTCTTCCTCGAAGGGATCTCGCTCAGGGTAGTCACCAACCTGAAAAATGCACAAGCAACCCAGTATCGATAAGGACTTGATAAACATAATGAATAGATTTTGCTTAAAAACACAGCAACGACATTACTTATCAAAAAAGACATTAATAAGGACAAGGAGCAAGGTATTTTTGGCAATAATTTATTCCACAGACAAAGGATGAGGCGAACTGTTGCCCTACTTGACCCAATCAGGAAATGGAAAACTGTTGCCCTCCTTCCCCTCCCCAAAAAAACAAAACAAAACACACATAAATATCATCAGTAAAGAAATTCCCTATGAATGCATCCATAAGAAAAGGTCATACACAGACCTTTACTTTGTCTGGCCTCGTCATTACACCATGAAGTGGAGGGCACTCAAAGTAACGTTTTCCTTTCACCCTACAATAGAGCACCATACAAACTGTCATATACATTTACAATGACATAATCTATCCATTCAAGAAAAAAAATAAAGTTGACATAACTATCAAAATACTATAATATTCATTGCTCTCACAACTCACAACCACAATAAAGCACTCTCACTAACCTAGATCAAGAAATGTATTTTTAGCAGCACCTAGGAAACTTTAAGTTCAATACATTTCATGAAACTATGGATAAACTTTATGATTTTTTTTATCAATAACAATAAGCTTTATTAAAGATAAGAAACTTTAATTACAAGAGAGGGGGAGGTAAAAAGTATGAATTCCCCGTCAGAAAATTACAAAGAAAAAGGAATTAGATATTAGCCCAAAACAAAGAGACCCTATTCACCCCTTGCTTGGCTAACCCATCAGCCAGTGAGTTGGCATTTCTTTTCACCCAGCTGTACTTCACCTCAATGTCCCTGGTAAGCCATTTGAATTTTTTTCCTTTCATTGCTATAGCTCCACATGCTACTGTTGTCTTCCTTTAGCCATCTAACAACCACCTCCAAATCACCTTTATGATTTTTATAAGGATCATTATTCATTACTACAAAGAGAAAGAAAAGGCAGAAATAGGGAGAGAGACCACACCAGTAAACCCAAAACCACAGTAACCAACCCAACCAAGGAAGAAAAAAAGGGCGCATCAGCAAAAATTAGAGGATGCACATACAGGCCCCTTTGCTCATAGCACAGCTCCCAAGATGAACTCCACCCAAGATCCAACCCAAATATGAGTCTATGACAAAAAGTTAAACAGAACAAATCATGATGGGCCTAATGCATGTCCTCTACATTTTTCAGGGTTACAAGATCGTAAAGAATATAGCAAGATCAACAGGCCATGATGCTATGAAACTCATCATCATCATCTAAAGCCCTTTCCCAACTATATGGGGTTGACTACATGAATCCTGTTTCACTATTCTGTTCTGTTCAGTGTCCCATGATGCTATAAAACTACATTATAAAATTGCTAAAAACTGTTTGACCCTTCAAATTTTGATGCTGGATTGTTAAGTGAATCAATAGAAAATTAAAGAAGAAACATTCATTCTAATAAGCAAGAGTTTGGAGGATTTCATTTTCTCGAGTTTATGTAGTGAGAAGCCTTTCTGATCTGAAGTTGAAACAAAATGAACCTTCATATACTTGTATATCTCTAACTAGGTTGTCAGCTGAGCTTGGGATTGTTTTTAATTTAGTTCTATCCCTATCCATATTGCTGAAGTGGGTTGTCAGTAGCATTAGCAAGCAGAATATATAAAAGAAGGGTAAAGAATCCGAATTACATGAAATAATAGTTATGGTGGATAATTGTTTTATTTTCTGATGAGGACCAACAGTATTAAGGAAAATATGATGGAGAGCGAGTTCAAAGTAGTGGGAAGGTGGAGAAAGGAAGTTTCGTTTGAAGCAAAGCTATACAAACTAGAAGAAGTGAAAACAAGGTCTCTGGTGTTCCTGAAGATAAGAGAAGAAAAAAGAGACAGTGTATCTCCAAAAGGAGGTAGCAGCTTGGCTGAAAGGCTTCCTGGACATAGCTTTAGTTTCAAGGAAATCATGGGCCTGGAAGAACTCAATCAAAATCAACGGAAAGGTATTCATAGCTGAACTTTGTTTCAATAGGAAGGGCTGATTCGCAACTGTCTCAGAATGGTTCAGCGAAGGTAGAAGACAAATGATTTGTATCCCCATGGGAAAACAGAGTAAGGGGTGGATGCTGTTCGTAAGGGAGTTGCAGAACTTTCTATGGAGAAATGAAAACAGACCAAGAGATATTCAACCCAACCAAGCACCGGAAAATCAACCACATCCAGATGGTGAAAAGGATGTTGCAGAGAGTGAAGATCAAACCTACCAGAACTGGTGTAAAAAATATGTGATACTTGCAAACAAAAGAGTAGGTAGTTGGGGCTGTGTTGCAGAGGAGATTAAACGAAAGCTGAAAGTGGGAGGACGCTTCGATCTTCGACCGTTTCAAGAAGATAAGGCGCTTCTAGAACTAGAAGTTGACAATCTGGTGGAAGAAATAGATGCATTTCCTATTCAGACTTCTGAAGGAGTAAAGGTGATCAGTCAGTGGTGTCCGAATGCAAATCGTGTAGATCAGACAGAAATTTTCCGCCTCAAAGTGCTAGTGCTCCCATTTCATCTTTGGTCCCTTGCAAACTTCAAGAAAATCGCAGCTCTGTGCAGAGGAGTCATGGAAGAATTGGACTTGTCCAATCTCAGTGCAGCTTTGATGAAATTGGAAGGAGTTAAAAAAGAGTCAATACCAAGAACAGTGAGGTTGGAACTAGGTGAAACGCATGAGGTAGTCTGGTTGCTGTCGTCAGTGGAGGAGAGACTTTGTAGAAGCCTGCGGGAGGTAGAAGACGATGACACGGCAAAGGTCAAGGAAGGGGAAAACATGAAGGAGAAGTCTGACCGTTTTTACAAAGAGTAGACAAATGGGCAGACTGTAGAATAGAAAGAGGACGGTCAGAATTATAAAGAGGGACTAGAATCTGGGCCATCCATCTCAGATCAAGGGGCTACCAAAAGGTCCTATGCTGAAGTGGCAGCTGGAGGGGGCAGCAATAAAGGATATAATTTGGAAAGAGCGCCAAAACTTGGCCCAGGGGTTAAACCGGTTGAACCAGACAACCCAACACCAACTTATAACCTAAACAGGTCACGTGGCCACTTAAAAATGCATGTGAGCGGGCCGGCCCAAAGGCTTGGGGACGATTGTTGGGGTCTATCATCGTCCAAATCGACCCCTGCAACCTCCTCTGTTGCAGCGGTTGCGAAAAACCCTATCAGGACCCCTTTGAAAGCATTTGGTGACGCTGGTTTTGGAAGTGCCCGGTCGGAGAGCAACTGGAAATGGAAGCCAGTTGTGAAAGCGAACTCCACAACCCCAGACAAGCCGAACCCGAAATTTAACAGGCCCGAGCGTGAAGACTTTGAGGAAGAAGATGATTGGGAAGACCCAAGGCAAGATGATGTTTGGAATGACGAAAGTAGCATTAGAAGTGCCTCATCCACTAAAACTTACAATATGTGGAACGATGAGCTAATAGGAACGCAGATATTGTTTGAAGAACCCTCTAGTTCCTCCTTGTCGGCCCCAAAAGAAGAAACAGGGTTAAGACCTGCCTCAATCTCTAAGGTGGGCCTAGATGTAGCCGACAGTGGTCCAGGAGAAATACCAAGGGAGACACAAGTTCAGGATATTCAAGACAGAGAATCGGATATTAGTACTATCCGAAGCAAAGATACACAAGAGGAACAGAATTTAGATGCTATCCCAGTTTTACCTGCCAAGGACTCTCACTCACCGGGTTTTGATCGAAGGAAGGATTTGGACTTGTCGAATCAGGGAACCCCTACACTTTTATCTCCTATTCCGTCTTTTATTCCTTTGCCTCCTTCTAAAGAGGTTTCTAACTTATGCTCGACTACCTGTGCAGGTCCTGTCCGATCCCCACCTGCTATGGAACTCCCAATCTGAAGTGCCACAGTCTTGGACCCAAAGAACCCGGTGGTTGATAGAGTAGAGGAAGAGAGGGCTAGAGTTGTATCTTTAATCCTGGAAGTTCTAGCTGACCCAACCTTAGGTTTAGATTGTGTTGATGCTAGCCTAAACCAACCCATTACCCAAACAAACCCAACCCAGAACGAGACCCTGGAGGGAACAAAGGAAGGCAGGCAGGAGGGGAAGGAGGGCTTAGAAGGAGCTAGGATGGTTGGTATAAAGGCAGAAGGAAAGAAAGTTTACCTGAGAAAGAAGAGTAAGCAAAGGAAAAGAGAAGTGAATCAGTCCTCTAAAACTGATATAAACTTGATTAAAATTAGAGAGAAAAGTAGAAGAAAAGTAGAGGACAGCAGTACAAAGGAAGAAGATGGAGAAAAGAAGAGGAAGAAGAAGAGTTCGATAATCTCCTCTCTCCCCTCTCTAATCCTTTTGTTAATCTTCATTCATTAAGCTAATTACAAGTATGCCTTTAAGTGGGCGGCCAGCTAAGAAAAAACTTAGAGTAAGCTTATAAAAAATAAATAACAGGCCCATTACCAAACAAATAAATAACACGCTACAAGAATAAAAGAATAGATACTAGGGCCCATTCGGCCCAGTCTCTCTACACTCCCCCTCAAGCTGAGCATAGATGTCAATCATGCCCAGCTTGCTTATATAGTGTGTCAACTTCCCTCTTGGATCCTGTTAGCGTAGGGGTATTTCTGTCTTTTTACCTAGATTAATGTTGCTGATCTGTAATGTTGTGTTGGAACCAGTGCTCCTAACTTAAATAAGGGCACATATGTCTTTTCAATCAGTTTTAATAATATAAGTTTTGTCTGGCCAACTGGGAGAAGGTTAGGTTGACACTTCCAATTCGAACCAGAATTTCCCCCTCTGTTTCTCTCTTTCTCTCTTTCTTCCACCTTTCTACCTCTTTCTACCTAACCAATCTCAGACAGATAGAATTCTAAGGCAGGCCGAATCATAACAGATCCCTTGGTTAAAACATTAGCCAACTATTCTTCTGAAGCAATAAATGGCAAGCAAACTTCTCTTGAGGAAACTCTTTCCTGTATAAAATGTCTATCAACCTCAATGTACTTAGTTATGCCATGTTGAACAGGATTATGTGCAATGTTTGATAGCTGTCTGGTTATCACAGTAGAGCATCATTGGCTTTTCATAGTCAACTCCCAATTCTTCTAAAAGTGATTGCAGCCACAGTAATTCCGACACACCATGTGCCATTGCCCTGTATTCTGCTTCAATAGAGGATCTAGCAACTACAAATTGTTTCTTACTCCTCCATGAAACAATGTTCTCTGCCACCAAAGCATAATATCCCGAGGTGGATTTCCTATTGTTACGAAATTATAGGCTGTAAATATGTAGTATTAGCCCAATTAGGAATAGCTTGATTATAGGAATTATTCTTTCTTTGATTTTCTTCCTATTTT